CCGGGGCTGCCGCGGCCCCCCTGGGAAGCGCGCTCGGCCGCCGGGGCCCCGCTCGGAAGCCACGGTCTCCTGAGGGAGAGTTGTAGGGCCTTTTTCTCCCCCACTTGCCTTTCAGCTGCGTTGTGTCAGGCTCTTCCGGACAACCAGGAGATTTCAGACATGCTTCCTCCTTCCCCTCAGGGGGTCCAAGGGAGAGAGCACGTGGCAGGGGCTCTGGGTCAGACCAGGGACTGGCAGCACCTGTCCCCCGAAGCCAGGCTCCCCCCTCACAGCTGCCAAGGAGCAGCTCCCCAGAGCCCTGGCACTGCTGCCTGGCCCCTGCTGGGCTGCCTTTGCCCTGGTGCAGGTCCAGCCCTCCCCTCCCCAGCACACTCACGCCCCCTCCACCTGCAAACCCCAGTGTGGCTGCCCTTAGCAGGCCAGGTCTAGCTGGAAGGGCAGGCAGCATCCAAGTGTCCCTCTGTGATGTAGATACAAAACAAAATGCTGTGGAAAAGCCCGGGCTGGAGCGTTATCTGCATCAGGCGTAAGGACATGGTCAACTCCAAGTGCTCTTACATTTTGGGCTGGGCCCTGCCTTCCCTGCAAACTGATTCCCCAGCTGGGAGTGACCCTGGTACTGAACCTGCTACAGCTGCAACAGCCACAAATGAAAGCACGCCAAGGCAGCAACCGTTCCCTCCCTTGACCCAAGTGGCTAGTGTACGAACAGGACGCAGCTGCATGGGTTGCCTGAGCCAGATCCATCTACTGCCTTCACGGGGCTCCCCAAAGATAAATGAAGGGATCCCCCTCCCCACACTTCTTCCTGCCTTTTCCAGGGGAGTCCATTTTGTAGGGGTGAGGAAGTATGTGCAGGCCAGCACCAGAGAGAGCAAGTCCACCTCCACAAACCTGTCTGTGATTCTGGGCTCCATGTAAAACTATTGCGGCACACGTTAAGTAATCCCCCTTGCTGCTGAGGTCACTTGCTCCATGGCATACGTATGCTAATGGCAGCCTAAGGCGCATCTAGGTTTAGTGGCACTTCCCCTGGGCCTTGGGTGCTGCGGCAGCTACAGGGAACAGAAAAGTGCGCAGAGCCAACCTTTGCAGCTGGCGTGTTACAAATTAGCCCTACACTGCCGCTCTGATCCTTTTCCCATGCCTGATGCTGCTCTGCTTTCTGCCTTATCTGCTGCTGTGCCACCTGTCCCCTCCCTGATTTGCAATGTACCCCACACCTGTGCCACTTGTGATGAGCATGCTGCAGCTTGGCCACCCCTGGCTCGGTGTCACCAAAGCAAGAGCACTGGTGAACAAGAGATCCCTGATTTATGGTAGCTAAGGGCTCACAGGACAGTTCTCCCCAGACCCACTGATCAGCCCCAGCGCAGGGGAGGGCACGGTCCTACAGAAGCATGGGCAGGACCCACTGGTTTCTGCATTTAAATAGCATGTCAGCACTGAGGAAAGTCTGGGAAACTGAAGAGGCTGTAGTAGCAGCCACTTCACAATGGCTGGTTGCGCTGTGCAGAAGCTTGTTACAAAACATGTTTGTCATGTAAAGCAGACCTCTGGCAAACTCTTATCTCCGAATCAGTTTTGGACTATGCAAAGAGGCAGGCAGTGCCACAAGACAGACGTCTCCTGGGTCCCCTTCCAACCCGTTTTCTTTAGTTCCTGAAGAACTGTAGATTCTGATGGTGTTGCAGTCTGTTTTGTTTCTCCTGCTAGAGGGAGGACGGGTCAGGATGTATTTGTAGAAGGCAGCTCTCTCCTTACGGGAAATTATTGTAAGCATACCTGCAATGAACTGTAATCTATTGTATGTTATATACCAACTCTTTGCTCTTTTGAATTGAATGGGCTGCAGGAACAAGTCATTTTTGCCAGAGACATTTAAGCAGGGAGGGTGGTTCTTTCAAAGGTGGATAAAACACCCCACATTCCCCTCCACTTTAGAGAGGGGGCTCTGTGGGGCGTCTCCCACCATAGCACTGACTCTAAAAGCTACTCCTGCTCTATAACGGCAACTAGCATTCTCCAGAAACAGAGAGCAGCATTCCGATCTCAGTGCAAATCCAGACAAAATCCATTTAAACCAATGGTATTACTACTGTGGATTTACACTAGTGCAACTGAGGGCAACACAGGGCAAGGGAGCTCTGACATGCAAAAGAGCTGTGAAGTCTTCTGTATGCATGCAGTATCTGGTGAAAGTTTAAAACAGGTGACAGGAGTCTATTCTGTTTGTCCTGGAATAATACTGTAGCGTGCTATTATTCTGTTAATAGTTCTTCTGTGAGTCTGTAAAGACAAGGCAGGTGTGGCCATGCACGCTGGTGTTGAACAGCAGAATAGGACCCACGTACATTAAGAGGTCATACTGATATATGAAGAGTGACAGGCCAGGTGTATTGCACAACCCAGCTGGCAGAGGCCCGAAGAAAAAGCTGCTCACTAACATATCATTCATGACAGGAAAGCTGGGTAAGCCCATAGGAAACAAAACACAAACAGAAACGGCCTCCCCTGCACACAAAGGAATACAGGTTAGGCTGGCAGCAGAGAACCCTGCAGGCCACCCTGCATGGGAAGTACGCAGGAAAACTTCTCCGCAGGATGGACACATTGAATAGTAAATGTCACTGCAGCATATAAATACAAATAAAGTAGCAACAATATATAAACCCATATAGTAACATGTGAATGCTAACCTTGTGCACTAAATATGTACTAGGTACTTACAATGCACTATCCCTAATGAGAGAGAAAAATCATGTAAGAGGATAATCGCACGAAGACAGGGGTCGGCAAACCACAGCCTGTAAAGCCATTTGGTCCAGCCCACAGACATGGGGCTGTGACAGTAGTTGCCCTCCTCAGGCTGCTGTGGGGAGAAGCAGCAGCAGCAGCAGCCACGAAGTCTTAGCACATGCCCTTCTCTGCCCCAAGCTGGATCATTGTGGCCTGTGACCTGAAAAGGTTGCTGACTGCTGCACTAAGACATCAGGGCTGAAGATAATGCAATACATTAGCACACTCCATGCACAGAGCAGGATGGACAAGTGAGTTTCCTTCTAAACTGTTAGTGCTCTTTTTGTAATCTGCACAGATGCTAACTTTTAGATACCCTGCAAAACCCATCTGCTCTCTCAGGGATTCAGAGATGAGACGGACTTGGGGGCTATAAATGGACAGGCCCCAGGTGATTGTGATCAATCTTTTTGGCAATTGATTTTGGACAAGTTTAGTTTGCAAAAGCAAACTTCTGAAAAGTAGGCCATGCCAGAATGTGAATGATCTATTCCATCTTAATGTGGCCCCTTAGCATATAGAAAAACATATTCAATTACATCACAATATGCTAGTCTGACTTCAGGTGAACTGTGCTATATTATCTACTGGTGCCGCCTCACCTGGAGCACTGTGTTCAGTTTTGGGTCCCACACTTCAAGTAGGATGTGGACAGATTGGAGAGAGTCCAGCACAGAGACACAGCAATGATTAGAGGTCTGGGAGGCAAGACTTATGAGGAAAGGCCGAAAGAACTAGGGTTCCTCAGTGCGGAGAAGAGAAGACTGGGTGGGGAGGGGGGATTTATTAACAGTCTACAACTACCTGAAGGGCAATGACAGAGAGGATGGAGATGGGCTTTTCTCTGTGGCTGTAAGGGACAGGAGTAGGACCAGTGGTCTCAAGCTGCAGCAGGGGAAACTGGGGTTGGAGGTGAGGAGGAACTGTCTAAATCTGAGGGTGGTCAAGCAGTGGAATCTCCATCCCTGTCAGTTTTCAGGAGCATGTTAGACAGACACTTGGCTGGGATGGTTTAAGTCTGGGCAGCAGGCTGGATTAAATGACCTCATGGGGTCCCATCCTGCCCTACTTCCCTATAATTTTGTGATTGGCTTAAAATCCTACCAAATACTCATATTTCTATAAAATAATGACAAGCATTTTCAAACAAAACCCCCCACACAGCCAAGCAGCTGTACCTAGGTCTCCATTTGTTGTAGTTAGGACGTTCTCCTTTTTCACCTATTTCTGCACACGCCCATGACCTCTTCCCGGTGGAACTGTTTTGAGTGAATTCCTATCCTGATGCCTGTAGAATCTAATTATTTCTATTTTTCTTATCTCTTAAGGGAACACACAGAGTTTCGCTATGGGAGCTGTCGTAGTCGACGATGGTCCATCTGGCATCAAAGCCCCTGATGGGGGCTGGGGCTGGGCTATTCTCTTTGGCTGTTTTGTCATCACAGGATTCTCCTATGCCTTTCCTAAGGCAGTTAGTGTCTTCTTTAAAGAGCTAAACCGGGAGTTTGGTGTTGGATACAGTGATACAGCATGGATCTCCTCCATTCTACTGGCTATGCTTTATGGAACAGGTAGGCAGTATCTATTTTTAAACAATGCCGCATGTGAAGCAAATAAGTCAGGTCTTTTCTTCTGATCTTAATTAGAAATGCTGTTTGCATGCCAACTAGGTATTTGAAGGAAAAAATACTTGGCTGTAACAATATTTAAGATAACAGGTTTTCTTTGAGTGTAGCCATCCTATATAAAGAGTCTTTGAGACTTGTCAGCTAAAGATGATGAAATGGCAAAGTTTTACAGAGCTCTGAAATGCCAAGTATGTGGATTTGTGGAAAGGAGACCGGTGTTTTGGGAGTAGCTTGAGGATGTGGGCAAAGCATGGGAAGAAATTCAAACCGACATTACAAAGGAGCACCTGCATTGTCCCAGTTGCTCATATCTCCTTTTTCCTCAGGCCCCCTGTGCAGCGTGTGTGTCAATCGGTTTGGCTGTCGTCCCGTCATGCTCGTTGGGGGCCTCTTTGCTTCGCTAGGGATGATAATGGCTTCTTTCTGCACCAACATTATCCAGCTCTATCTCACTGCAGGCGTTATCACTGGTAAGTGGGGGTGCAGCCCTGAAGAGGAAAAGCCTGGGATATAGTTAGATTCAGATATCGAAATTGGTATGAACAGGCAGTGTCTAAACCATTAGGATCCTTAGAAATAGCCTCTCTCAAGAACCTCATTCACAGTGGAAGGGCCTGGCCGGATTTAGCTCTTACAAGTGTTAATTCTTCTGTGAAGTTTAGTTGATGCTTTTGTTCCCAAGGTATGGCTATTAGGTAGGGGAATACTATTATGAAGGGCTCTCTCTCAGTTTTGGGGGTTATCTAGAACCTTTCTTCCAGATGGAGGAAGCAGGAAAGTCTCCCCACATCTTTGTCCTCAGTTGTGAATCATACTGCAGTAACAGTGGCTATTTTTATGCAGACACTGCAGCTCAGCTTTCACTTTTGTCTCTCCTCTGTTCCAGGTTTGGGTCTGGCACTCAACTTCCAGCCATCGCTTATCATGTTAAATCGATACTTTGACAAGCGCCGGCCTTTAGCAAATGGGCTGTCTGCTGCTGGGAGCCCTGTGTTTCTCTGTGCCCTTTCTCCTTTGGGGCAGATACTACAACATGAATATGGTTGGCGAGGGGGGTTTCTTATACTGGGTGGGATGCTGCTCAACTGCTGTGTTTGTGGAGCATTAATGAGACCTTTGGAGCCTCCCAAGAAATCTGAAGTTACCAAAGAAATTGTTGAGAAAAAAACAAAGAAAAAGCTCCTGGATTTCAGTGTGTTTAAGGATACTGGCTTTGTCATCTACACTGTGGCTGCTTCCATCATGGTGCTGGGCCTCTTTGTGCCACCAGTGTTTGTGGTGAGCTATGCCAAGGACCTGAAATATGAAGACACAAAAGCAGCTTTTCTTTTATCCATTCTTGGATTCATCGATATCTTTGCCCGGCCCACCTGTGGAGTGATTGCTGGTCTCAAGCAGGTCAGACCACGTTGCGTCTACCTCTTTAGCTTTGCTATGTTTTTTAATGGTTTTACAGATCTCATGGGATCCATGGCTGATGACTATGCTGGCTTGGTAGTCTTCTGTATTTTCTTTGGCATTTCCTATGGAATGGTAGGTGCCCTTCAGTTTGAAGTTCTCATGGCTATCGTCGGCACTCAGAAATTTTCCAGCGCCATTGGCTTGGTGCTTCTGGCCGAAGCAATGGCTGTCCTAGTCGGCCCACCATCAGCAGGTAAATAATCTATTCAGTTAAGGGTTTAACAGCATTTGCATTGTTCCATTACTTTTTGTGTGCCAAAGACTGAGATCCAAGTGAAAACAGCCACCAAAAGAGTGTGTATGGATCTGGTAATGAGCACATTTACCTGACACATGCTCACCTCTCAGAGATGCGCTCAGCACACAGCTAACCACTTCCCTGAAACCCAGTTGGGCCTTTGGTTCAAGACTATCCTGGAATCTGGCAGGTGATTTTAAGGCTCAACGAAATGGATTGTACATTGTCCCTGGTGACTTGAAGGAGGAAAAAACCTTTATAGGTGAACAACCTATAAAGGTGGGCAGTGGGGTTCCCCAAGGCTCGGTCCTCCGGCCTGCCCTATTCAACATCTTCATCAGTGACTGGGGCGAGGGGGTAGAAAGCACCCTGTTCAAGTTCGCAGATGACACTAACATGTGGGGTGAAGTGGGTACGCTAGTAGGAAGGAACAGGCTGCAAGCGGATCTAGACAGGTTACAGGGGTGGGCCGATGAGAACAGGATGGGGTTCAACACTGACAAGTGCAGGGTAATGCACCTGGGGAGGAAGAACCAGCAGCACACCTACAGGCTGGGGAACTCCCTTCTTGCCAGTGTCGAGACAGAAAAGGATCTTGGAGTCATCATTGATGCCAAAATGAACATGGGCCGGCAATGTCGAGACACGGTCAGGAAGGCCAACTGCACCTTGTCGTGCATCCACAGATGCATCTCAAGCAGGTCCAAGGAGGCGATCCTCCCCCTCTACGCGACACTAGTCAGGCCGCAGCTGGAGTACTGTGTCCAGATCTGGGCGCCGCACTTCAGGAGGGATGTGGACAGCATGGAGAGGGCCCAGAGGAGGCCACCCGCATGGTCAGGGCAGGGCCTGGGCCTGGGAGGAGAGGCGGGGCAGGGCAGGGCCTGGGAGGAGAGGCGATGGGACCTGAACCCGTTCAGCCTCCACAAGAGAAGGCTGAGCGGGGATCTGGTGGCCGTTTACAAACTAGTCAAGGGGGACCAGCAGGCATTGTGGGAGTCCCTGTTCCCTCGAGCACTCCCAGGAGTTACAAGAAACAACGGACACAAGCTGGCAGAGGGTAGTTTCAGACTAGACATCAGGAGGCGCGACTTCACTGTCAGGGTGGCTAGGACCTGGAACCAACTTCCAAAAGAAGTGGTGCTGGCCCCTACCCTGGGGGGCTTTAAAAAAAGGCTCGGCGAACATCTGGCCGGGGTCATTTGACCCCAGTACTCTTTTCTGCCACGTCAGGGGGTTGGACTAGATGATCTCCTCAGGTCCCTTCCGACCCGACCAGCTATGAAACTATGAAACCAGAACCATGGAAAAATTATTGGAGAAAGAGGGAGTGAAAAGGCAGGGACTGTTATCTTAGAAAGGAGATGAGATTAAAAGGGGTTATGAGTATTATGAAGTAATGAATAGTGTAGACCAGAGGTTTCTATTTACCCTGTCTCATAACACAGGAATGAGCAAGATTACAAACCAGCCAGATGTACAGTTCAAACCGAAGCTGAGGAAACACCATGCTACGCAACACAGACTTTATTTTCCCCACATACCAATGCTCCCACGTAAAACACAAGCATCGTTTTTGGAAGGCAGAATGTAGGAAAAACCCCAACTTATTCCAGAATCATGGCTGACTGTGTGACATAGAGTACGTGCTCCTGGGAACACAGAGCATCAAGGAAGCACGGCATCCCAAGAGAGTCTGATGAGGCAGCAAGGACATCCTAGGAAACTGAATTGATCTGTTAAAGCAAAGTGGAAAAATCAGGCCCTTTATATGCCACTTTCAAAGACCCAATCGACTTAGTAATCTTCATAACAAAAGATGAGGAAGAAGTGTGATCTTTTAAAGAGGCATGGAAAAAACAATTTTGTAAGTTTTCCCCCAAGTAGTTTATCTCGTGCATTTGACGGGGCTATAGGCACAGCCAGCTTCACTGTCCTGCCATGTCGTTTCCACCCCCGCCAGCCTCTCTGGCAATTAGCCACTTTGACGGTGTGTTTTTCTCATACAGAAACAGAAATGAAAAACATTTTAAACAAACAGAAAAATGCATCTATAAAACAAAATGTAGCGGAAACCTCCAGGGCACAAGTCATATATTCAAATATCTTCACTCGTTTTAAAGATGAATTAGATTACAAGGCGGGATTCGGGAGGATTCGGAAATGTACATAAGTTACTTAGGAGTCCTGCTGTCTGTCAGTGGGACTTCTGCTTAGAAATGTTCTAGGTACTTCTGGAAATCTCTTCCAAGGCTGACTGTGGCTTCGTATTTTCACATCAACAGTGATTTAGAGCATGATTTCTCTTAAACAAAACAGCGTTATCCTCACTGCAGGAGATGTTTGGGGTTTTTTCTTTCTTTTTTACTAACCTGTGAATTTAATGTCTTTTAGGTAAAATCTTGGATGCCACGAACAGGTACATGTTTGTTTTTATTACTGCTGGAGTTGAAGTTACGGTCTCAGCCCTCGTGCTGGCTTTAGGAAATTTCTGCTGTATTAAGAAAAAATCAGAAGAGCCTCAAACAAAAGAGGAAGCAGCAGAAAGAGAGGAGCTGAACAAAATGGAAGACAAACCCCCTGAAGATGCCAAGGTGGACTCTATCGAAGTGGAACACTTCCTGAAAGATGAGCCTGAAAGAAATGGGGAAGTTGTGACCAACCCAGAAACTTGCGTGTGAGTGTGACAAGATGAGTGACAAAGCATTTAGGAAAGAAGCAAAGAATTTCAACACTATTTATTTTAGAAGTAGAACTAGCTTAGGGCTGGGCCATTTGCTTAGCTGATCGGAAGCAAACCAGCTCATAGCACATTCTGTAGAAACGGGTTTGTTGGGAAGCCTTTTCTCAGAAAACTGTTTCTTTCAGTGAGAAGTGAAGCTTTGTGGTTATAACTTTTAACAAAACTTAAACAGTCATTGTAAACACATGTAGAAGTCCTGCTATGCATCACCAGAAATTTCTCACTTGAAAGAAAAAAATATTGTCATTGAAGAGGAATGATGTGTATGTTTTCTGTCAATACGGGTGAAAGCGTGTGTTTGTTTGCTACGTGGTGTTCACCTAAATGCAACTTCCCTTTCTTTGTTCTTTGTCAAATGTGGAGAGCTTGAGATGGGGGAAAAATCTCAGGAACTTAAGGTCTTGGAAACCTCTTACTTTTTTCAGATATTTTTAGATTAATTGACTCAGCCCTAACTTAATTTTGATAATATGAATAACTATTACTTGGGTTTATGTAAATGTATTTATGTGAGTTTTGTCTCAACTTGTCATTTTTGTAACTGTAATTTTTATTGGAAATACTGTACACTGAGGGGCATCCAGAGAGACAGTGCCCTCAGTGGGACACAGCTACTACTCCCAAATAGCAACAAATGAAAATGAAAAGCAAAGCAGTATTAATCATAACAGACGAGAAGAGAACAAGTTTAGTTTGATGTCGGTTTTCCGAAGCCTTGCCAGAGACGTTCTGCCATCGCGGCGTACAGATAGATTTTCAAAAGGAACCTAGAGAATATAGGTTTGGATACTAAGGTCACTAAGACTTTTCTAACTGAAAATTGCCAGCATGTTTAAATGTAAGAACTAAAAATGTGTTCTAGGTCAAACATAACAGAGATATGGGTCTTGGCTAACTTAGAAAGAAGAAATGGGTGACTTTTAAGCAAGTTACCTAACACACTTTAATTAAATGTGGGTTAAAATATATTAGCACCAGTACAGATATGTTTTAACACTTTTCCTTGAGCCAGCTATTCCTCCTTGTTGGAAAGAATGGCCCCATATTTGCCTCATCTAGATAGGCTCTTGGAGGCACATTAGGGTCAGTGAAGGAAAGATAATAGTGTTATTGATCCCAAGGCCCACAGTGCTCAACAGTGCCCAAACACAGCAGTCAACAACAATTCCTACTGAACCAAAAGAAAAGTAAAGGCAGAGAAAGGGGCCTCTGTAGTCCACAGTTCATACACTGAACCCCCATCCGGTCACCTAATTGCGCTCCAGAACCTCCGTCTGCTTTCTGGGCAAGTTCCAGGAGTCCTAACTGGTCCCTCTGCAGCTGCCTAACCCCTAAACCTCCACCCCACCCCGTACGTCCGTGTAAAGTGCAACTAATGTGGTTTCCGTTTCCTGAATCTACACCCAGCACTGAAACAGTCTCTGAGGAATGCGCTATTCTATTAATTCTTAAATCATTTTAAGATGATGAAACCTAATGATAACTGCCTAAGTGGCAGCATTATTCACTACTTAACTGCTCATCGTTATAGCAAAAGCATCCACGTTCCAAATGCATCTGTCCCAAACAGCTTTCTGGCCTGCTTACATCTGCCCTCCTAACCATGCCCTACGAAGCTGTCTAAACCTCCACCTCTTGCCTGCTGTCCTCTACAACAGTTATTTTAGAACACAAGCGTGCAGAAACTGAAAACATGAAGAATACCGCACCAACCATATGATTTTCATACTCCATTCAGTTTTTAAAAAGCAATTACTTGAGCAGCAGGTGTTCACTGGCACATCAGTCTTGTTACAAAATTCATATCCAGTTTTTTCCATAGAGTGCATAGGTTCATGCAGGGAAGTAATGTGAGAATTAGTGGCTGACAACATGAAAGCAATGGAAGGAAAGGGGATCCACTGATTATCCTAGTGGCAAGCCTAGAGGCCATCAAACTGTCTGGTGGGAGCCAAACATGGCTCACTAGTTGGTGTTCCCATTTCTATTAAACCAAAGCAATACCAAAAAGATCTCTGGATGATAATTTGCCCTCTTAAGCAGGGGCAGGCAATTATTTTGTCTGGAGGGTCACTTAATGAGTTTTGGCGAGATGTCGCGGGCCACATGGTAGACCCGCCCCCGTGGGCACCATCTTGGGACTGGAAGTCCTGCCCCGTAATCCCTGACCTTTGCCACCAGAAGTCCCTCCCCTTGCCCCCAGGAGTACTCCTTTCAGCAGGGGGACTGCTACCTTGGAACCAGGAAAAACCCCAAATTATATTCTAAAAATCAAACCTCTATTACAACATACAATAATTTGATTTAAAAAAAATATTTTGTCCTTATTTACATGCATTTGTGTAGTGTGCAGAGAGGCAACTATATAATAGCTTAAAAGGATGTCTTACTTTTGTATATTGTGTGGGGGGTTTGGCAGTATGGGTGGGTGGGTACAGGGTTTGTGGGGGTGGTGTGGGGTTTATGTGGGTGGATAGGTATGGGGTTTGGCTGTATGTGGGGGGTGGGAGAGTATGTGGGAATGTGTGTGGATATGAGTGGGGGGCTGTGTGTGTGTGGAGGGATTGGGGCGGCTGGGGGGGTTGTGGTGTGAGTGGGGAGGGGGGGGTGGCTGGGGTGTGCAGTATGCATGGGGGGTGTGGGTGGCGTGTATGGTGGTGCGAAGAGAATGTGGGTACATGCGTATGGGGGTCACGTGTGTGGGATCCACCCTCCGAACACCCTCCCCCATTGCGCACAGGCCCCACCACCAGAGGCAGCAGCAGGCAGTGATGCCTTATTGGAGGCCTTCACTGCATAACGCCCAAGGAAAATATCCATAAATCTCACTCCTGTACACATTCCCATTTACTTCAGTGGGACTGACCGGCAGTCAGATGAGCTGGAATTGGCCCTACATAGGTATTTTTGTTCTAACTACAACCAATCATTCAAATATGCTGTGGAAACTGGGGGCGAGGGAGGTGGGGGGGACAGATTTCTATGTTCTATAATCATTCTTCCCCCTCTGCAGTGTTACAGACAAGTTTACACATGGTCAAAAAAGGTTACTGAGGGAGGGAGAAGAATTACAGATATTCTTAGCTTTTTCTGCTTTTCACAATTATGGCATGAAGGACACCGATGGACGCTCTCCCCTCATTCTGCCCAGGTCTCTTACCTTCCAGCTTCTGGGCATACACAAACTCCAGAACGCAGAATGAGGGACTGCATTTCCTCAGCTATGCAGATGGGCAACGAAAGTACTCAGAGCCTCCATGGATGTATCATACCTCTTGCTAGAAGGGTCCATCAAAGAAATCATGGTATGCAGTCTTTAGCTGGTTGAATTCACTGTCAGAATGGATATCTGTACAAAGTATCTGTACAACATGCCACATCCTGTAGAGAACTGTGCAATGATAGGTGACAGGGTCTGAGAGACCAGCAGAGCATCCTCCTGCTTCAAAAAATGGAGAGAGAAAGTTTATCATACTTGTGTGTTTGAACCACCACAAGTTCTAGAGAAAACACTGCTTTTCTACACCCCAACCTCTTCAGCCCTACGGTTCACCTGACCTGTGGATGAAACTGCCTATTCATACAAATGCAAGATCCAAGTGTAATATTGTTTAAAAGACTTTTCATGGATAATTATCTCTGAAAATAATGAAGAACAGAGTAGCCTCCCCTCTTGCAGATGCCACCAAGCTGGTGGGGGGTGGGGAGTAGTAGATATGCTGGAGGGTAGGGCTAGGATTCAGCGTGACCTAGACAAGTTGGATGATTGGGCCAAAAGAAATCTCATGAGGATCAATAAGGACAAGTGAAAAGTCCTGCACTTGGGAGAGAACAATCCCACACACCGGTGCAGGCTGGGGGCCGACGGGCTGGGCAGCAGCTCTGCAGAAAAGGACCTGGGGGTGACAGTGGACAAGAAGCTGAATATGAGCCAACAGTGTGCCCTTGTTGCCAAGAAGACTAATGGCATCCCGGGCTGCATTGGTAGAATTGCTGCCAGCAAATCAAGGGAAGTGATTTCCCCCTCTATTCAGCACTGGGGAGGCCACATCTGGAGTCCTGTGTCCAGGTTTTAGTCCCCCACTACAGAAAGGATGTGGATGCACTGGAGAAAGTCCAGCAGAGGGCAACAAAAATGGTTGTGGGGCTGGGGGACAGGACTGGTGAGGAGAGGCGGAGGGAACTGGGCTTATTTAGTCTGGAGAAGAGAAGACTGTGGGAGATTGAATAGCAGCCTTCACCTCCCTGCAGGGGGGCTGTCAAGAGGATGGAGCCGGACTGTTCTTTGTGGGGGCAGATGACAGGACAAGCTGCAGCAAGGGGAGTTAAGGCTACATATTAGGAAGAATTTTCTCGCTAGAAGGGCAATGAAACACTGGAGCAGGTTACCCAGAGCGGTGGCAGAATCTCCATCCTTGGGAGTTTTTAAGACCCAGCTAGACAAAGCCTTGGCTGGGACGATGTAGTTGAGGCTGGTCCTGCTTTGAACAGGGGGCTGGACTAGATGTGACCTCCTGAGGTCCCTTCCAGCTCTTATTTTCTATGATTTTATGATTCTCTCTGTGTACAGTATGTTGTCATTTTTAAGTGTTTTTTTTAAATCTTTGTACTATAGTGTTCACAGTTAAATATTCTATGCTTGATTATGTATGGATCTCGAGCCCTTAAATAGCCTCCACATACAGGAAAGCACGTGTGCATATGCAGACAGCACACACACTACTCATACATGTATGTATGCATCGGACCGGAGGAGAGGTAGCAGTTTGCTTTTCGTACAGCCAGTGAGGTAATGATGATTCTCTGCACAATGGCAAACGTTCAGTTGTTTTTATTCTCTTTCTAAATATAGATATTTTATAACTATTTGGAACCTTCAAGGAAGCAGTTGAACCAAAAAACCTTGAACTAAGGCACGGGCCCTTTAAAATAGTGAGAATGAGCCTTGGTCCATTCCCCCCTCTCCTCCCCCTTTTAAAGTAGTTGCTACAGTGTGATAAGGGGCTGCTGGTAAAGCAGCCAGCTCCCCACAGTTGAGAATGAGGGATTTTTGGTATAGTTAGGACTGGAGAGGCCTCTCTTTCATGAACAATACATATTAAGACCTACCTAAATAACACGCTCTTCAGAGTCTATGCAAATCTTTCTTTAAACATACAGTGTGTACCTTTTTATTTCCCAAAGAACAGCTATAGTTTAAGGGCAGGCAGGCATGATAGAGGAATTCCAGGAGAACAAAACAGTTGTACGCTGCAAAAATTACATAGGAAGATTTCATTTGTGTTAGGGGGTGTGCGGACGTGTGCGCCAGGTTCATGCAGGTGAGGTAGCTTTTTGTCCCTGCTTTCCTGTAAATGCACTTTAATGTCATGTGCATATTTATACTTCGATTTAATGCTTTTATAATTATCTGTTGCAAAATAGTGAATAAATATTTATTGTGTTGTGAAAGCTGTGGTGTCCTAAAATAAGTTGCAGACAAATAACTCCCTTGGCTACTCAGCGTTACAATGTTTGGAGGAAGTTCCCATAGTAGCATGGAGACGGTGCTTTTCCTTATCTGCCGGAACTAGTAGGTGGCAACTTTCTATTTTGGATATGAACACCTGCTCAGAGTGATCCAAACCTTCATCACTTCCAAACTGAACACATACCATGGGCTTTTGAGCAGAGCGTACCTGTAAATTCTTGAGAGGCTGCAGCTAGCGTAGAAGAGAGCTGGTGATTTCACAGCACTCTCTGCAGGGACCATGGTACACCTGTATTCTGACTTAGTGATGTTTCAAGAGCTGTTTTTGATCCTCATATGACAGTCTCACAGCTGCAGTCAGCAGTCTGTTGAAGCTACCAACTCCTAGATTTAAATGGGAGATGCACTGGAATGTAACATTCTCAGTCAGGACCCCTCAGCTCAGCAAATGCCATACTCCACTTGCTCCAAAAGAATCCAGATTTGTTGTGCTTTCCTGTGGGGGAATTTCTAATTTTTGGTCAGGTAGGGCCTGATTTCTTTGGCTGAGACTGGCCTGTATTTCCAGGAGCTGTAGGCCCAGGAGAGGTGTTGGGAGGTTAAACCCACTTGGGACACACCCAAACCTGGTCTACACTGCAGGAGTCAAAGCAGCTGCTGTTAGCCGTTTTGAATGACAGTTGCATAAAATGCATAACTTGCAGCAAAAGAACTGCAAACACCAACAGCATGTGCC